TATTTCTCCGGAGAATCCTGACTGATATAAATACCTTCTTATTTACTAACTTCATTCATTCATCAGTTTAAAAAAATTTAGTGAGCACCTACCAGGGGGCCAGACACTGTTTTTGTGTTCTTGGAAATTATCATTGAACAGAACAAGGATTCCTAGCCTCGTGGAACTTCTATTCATTTTGGGGGGTGAGGTGGGGGAAGAGACAATGAATAATTAGTAATGTGTTAGGAGGTGATAAGTACAAGGGGAAAAGGAAAAAGTAGAGCAGGATTGGGAGGATCAAGAGAAACTGAGGAGACATTTGAGCAAAGGCTTACGGGAGATAAAGGGGTTTGCCATGTGGGAAGCAAGATAAGTTCAAACCTGGTGGAAACTGGCCCAGCCTTCATTTCCAATGGGATCTACAGGTATTTTCTCATTTGCAACCTCGGTTTTAGCCACATTGCTCTCCACGGAGCACCCTGACCATGCCTTTCCCTGTGCCTGGGATGCCCCCCCCCCCCGGGGACCTTCTTCTCCCGGTCTTGTTTACGTCTTACCCCTACTTGTCTTTGAACAGTCAGTTTCATGGCTTCTACCAAAGCTGCCTAGCATGGTGTTGTCTTGAGCTTTTTTTTGATCTCCAACAGACTTGGAGTTGAGCTGTAATTCTGCCCCTAAATATCTTTGCAACTTTGGGCAAGTTTGTTCATCTGTCAAATGGGAGTAAAAATAGTACCCCACTTATAACGAACTAGAAATGAGAAGACACAGGTAAAAATGACTCAGTGACTCTTAGCTGCTATTATTATTGTTCTTCCTCTTCCCTCCCTCCACCCTATGCCCTTCCTCCCCTCTTCCTCTCCTGTCTGTGCTCCTCGAGAGCCCAGGGCCAGCCCCTCCCCCTCCCCACGTCATTCTGACAGCTGTTGAAAGCAGGCTCACGTCTCCCTTCTCAGGCAACTGCCTTGGTCTACTCACTCACATCCCTCCCCCTCTCCCATCATCCTTGTCCCAGACCCCATTCTGGCTTCAGATTCAGGCTTTTGCCTGGCTTCCCAGAGCAGCTTGATCCCTTTCTGGGATCTTTCTTGGTGTCTTGACCGTTTCAACTCCCTGCTCAGTGCCCTGTACAAAAGCCTGGGACCTGCCGGATCAGGCCTAGCCCCTGCTCGGGAAGGGAGGCCACAGGGTTTCTGCAGGAGGGAAACAAAACCACTTCCAATGTTTAACAAGGGAATTTTTAAAAATAGACTTTATTTCTTATAACAGTTTTATATTTACAGAAAAACCGAGAAGCTAGTACAGAGAGTTCCCACATACCTCTCACCCAGTTTCCCCTGGTAGTAACATCTCACTTATTACTTTGTGGTACATTTGTTATAGTCAGTAAACCCATATTGATACATTATTACTAGATAAGTCCATACATTGTTTCAGATTTCCTTAGTTTTTAACCTGATAACCCTTTTTCTGTGCCAGGATCCCACCCAGCACACCACAATGCGTGTAATTGTTATGTCTCCTTAAAGCTCCTCTTCGCTATAACAGTTTCTCAGCATATCCTTGTTTTTGATGACTTTCGCATTTGTGAGGAGCACTGCTCAGGTATTTTGTTGTACGATGCTCTTCCACTGGAATTGACTGATGTGCACAGAAGGAATTTAAGGCAGGGGATTGCTCACGTAGGTCATGGACGATCTGAGATGCAACAAGAAGGTGAAGTTACCCAGACTGATTTCAGCAGAAAGCCTTTAACATCCCTAAGCTGGAGTGTTAACAGGAAGTGGCAGTGTTACCTAAGCCAGTGGCTAGGGCCACTTGGCTGAAACCTCAGCCAGATGCAACCACTTTAGGAGATGCCATCAGAGGCAAAGGGGGTGGGGAGGGATTTCTTTGGCTCTTCCTTTCCAGCCACCTCCACTCTCTCCAGTCAGCCTGCAAGAGACTGCTCCTAGCAATACAGAGCAGAGGGCATGGCTGAGAACAGCTCTAAGGTGACCCAGTACTGGGACAGTTGGTATTTGAACACACAGCACCTGTGACATGGTTTTATTATAGCATTTACCCCACTGCTCTGCAATTTAATTGTTTGCCTGCCCACAGGCTCTGAATGATCACTAGTGCTTTGAGGGCAGTATTTATTTTTTTATACTCATAGCCCTAGAACAGTACCTTGCTCATAGTAGGTTTTCAACATTCAAAATATACACAATCCGATGAATGAATGAATGGTTTCTTTAAACTAGCACCTCTTCTGTGTACTCTAGCTTTGAGGAATATTCAATACCAGCATTTCTTTTCAGCTTCATCACCTCCTATTGGTGCTAAAATTACTTTGAGCCTAGCATTTGCAATATTTGAAGGCCACAAGGATGGTGTGACCATAAAGTAATTAGACCAACTAATCCTTTTCAACAAAGGAATCAAGTCACGCATCAGTCCTTACAAGTTGTTCCCAAGGAAGGTCGTCCATCTCTTCCAGCAATGCTGCCATGCCTAGCTTCTTCTGAATGAGCTGCACAAAACAAAAGAAGGAGCCTTGGCCAGTGTGGTTCAGTGGTTAGAGGGTTGGCCTGTGCACCGAAGGGTCGAAGGTTAGGTTCCAGGTCAAGGGCAGGTACCTGGGTTGCAGGTTTGATACCCGGCCCCGGCATAGGGGAGGCAATCGATGATGTTTCTCTCTCCTTCTTTCTCTCTCCTCCCTTCATCCCTTCCACTCTGTAAAAAACAATGGAAAAAATATCTTCAGGTGAGGATTAACACACACACACACACACACCAAAAACTCACAAAGGAATGAATCATTTTTAAGAATAAAATGTTTCTGTCTTTACTGCTAAATGTCACCCATCTCTCACCTGGCTGGTGTTTGGGTGGGTTGGGACACATCATCAGAGAAGTTACATTTCCTTGCAGCAAAGGGGAGGAGGAAGTGGAGTGCCGCAAACAGAACTGACTGGGGGTGCAGGAGAGCTGACAAGTAACACCCTGGTTGTCAGTTGTCACCAGGGACACCTGGACCTCACTAGCAGGCCACCGAGTAGCTGAAACATCGGAGGTTTTCGAGGACTGTCAGTGCCGGGATGGCACATAGAAAACCAAGTGCCACTTCAGAAAACCTCACTCCCCTGTGTGTAAAGTGGAGTCGATTAATAGTCTCTGATAAAGAGCAAAAAGGTGTACAGGCGACGGGAGCACTGCTCAGCCCTAGGTTTTTAGTTTTCTGTCTGCCGGGGTGCTCTGCGGACAACACAGGACAGATATCTGACCTGTCTGCGTTTCACCTGCCATCTTGTTTAGTAGAGACTAAAATATTTTCAATTAGCATCTTCTTTCCATTCTGGTAAATCGCTGCTCTAATAAAGGCAAAAAATGATGACTACAGAAACCTCCCTGCATTTTTGTTTTGGACACCTCATTTTCCACAGTACTTCTAGAGAAATAATAGTACTGGGCAGCCAGCAGTGCACTGGAAAAAGTAGGAATCTTGGGAAATGTTGTGTTTTGGGGTAAGTCCCTTTACCTTTCAATACCTCCACTGTCTCACTTAAAAATTGGGAAGTATGTCTATCTTATCATAGAGGGGTGGTAAAGGTCACATGAGATGTATATGCAAGCACTTTGAAGATCAACAAGTGTAACATATTACAACTAGTTCTTTGAGTGGACATAAGGCAGCAGAAAAGGTGCTTTTGATGTTTAATTAATACTAAAAATCTGCCATTACATTTATTTAGCTTTAATTGGGAAGGAGGAGGCTAAGAGTAATTTTCAAAGGAACTTTTTCTGCTCCAAAAATAGAACTCAGAAAACACATATTTGATTTTCCTTCGGTGTCAAACCACACTGCCATTGTTGTTCGCAGTTTTTCGGAGTTGTGACCTTCAAACTTGGCGATATCAAACGCTGAAAGAAAGCTTGCCGGGTCTTTAAGCCTCTCAAACAGGCATTTGAAATAAAAGCACTTTTATTTTTGAATTAAGGGCTAACAGAATTGTCCTCTTAAATGAGCATTTACAAGTTTAAAAGTTGCCTTCCAGGTGGGCGGCAGTGGAGGAAGGTGCTGAGATATCACTGAAAGCCCTTTTGGGGGACAATGTGGGAAATCTGTTATAGGGGGTCTGGGTAACATCCTTTCCACTGCTAAAAGAAATTTAGAACTTGCATTTTTTCCTAATTGTACATCAGCTGATTTGTGTATACATCGAGGATCATAATTTACTTTCGGTTTCCTGAATTTGTGAATTTTTGCCATTGTTTTAATTTGTAATTAAGTTTCCTCTATGAGACACACCATATGCCACCATTAATTCTTTCTTGTTGATTTCTTAGGAGATACATGAGTGCATATTTTGATGCAATTTTTGAGGTCTTTTGAAAATCAAATGACTACATGTTCGGCCATATGGACCTTTGTTATTTAAAATAGCATATGATAAATAAGAGAAAGCAACATGCAAAAGGACCTGTCAGGGAAAAATAATAATAATTGAAAAAAACTGCTTTAAACATTGTTAGCCTTTTTTTCTTTTCGCGTGATATTTTTGAAATCTCTGTTGATCCCGCACTGTCACTCACCGTCTGCGATACCAGGCTCACAGGTGCCCCGGGCAAACCTGCGGAGACCAGTGACTGCCCTGCGTGTCACACTGGGGCCGCGGATCTGAGCAGCCGCTTCCCATGAGCCCAGCTGTAGCCAACGTTTGTCCGTAGCACCTCCTGCCAGGAATTGACAGTGAGCTCCAGTTCATCCGCACAGACGGCGTGTGGCTTTGAAAGAGGCCGACTGGTGTTTCGGTTTTCGCGGGGATTCATGGTGCTCTGAGCTGCCTGCCCTACGTGCGGGCACAGACCCGGCCACCGGCGGGCGCGCGGCGCGCACTAGGACCCAGCGGGGCTCCGGGCCCGGGTAGGAGCCTCGCTGCCGACCCCGGGCGGGCGCCGGGGCTGGAGCCGGGGTTCCGGCCGCGTTGGGCTGCAGCTCCGCCGGGACACGGCGCGACCCGGCGGCGGGCCACCCGCGAGTCCACTGCCGCCGCAGCCCCCCAATGCAGCCGCGAGAAGCAGCGGGGGGGCAGGAGATCGAAGGTAACGCAAACGGGGCTCATTTCCTGCCTCCTGATCTTCTGCTCTGGTTCAGCATTGTCACGAGAAGCCCTCACTGTTCAGGCTGCTGCATTTTGGGGCACCCTTTGATTTTTTAAGGTATCCGCTTCCCCTATTTCCACCTGGCTCGATTGATTTATAGCATGCAGCCCATAGGGGAGCGATCCAGGGATGGCAAGTTGCATATTTTCATTAGTTTTGTCTCAAAAGTAAGTTCATTTAAAAAAAAAAAAAGTTTCTCAGGAATTTGTGGATAGTCGTTTTTTGTTTGTTTTTTGTTTTTTAAATTTTAAGAGCAGACAAATGGGTAATTTTAAAAATGCAAATAATCGATATAATTCTGTTAATTACTTCCTAGGGCTTTACTTTGGTGGGTTCCCCAGGCGTTACGTTTATTTTCAAGGAACTGCCGTGTTAAATGTGGAGTTTGGCTGGGGCAGAGTTTCCAGCATTGCTGTCGCAACTGTTTTGCCATCAATTATAAACAGAGTGTCCAATCTGTGGGCAGTTCAAGCCTCTTTTCAGATACTGTAACTGGTTATCCTGATGTGACACCTACAGATGAGAGTTTCCTTGGAAGGCAGTCAGAATATTTCTCATTTTGGAGAAACATTGTTTGGAGGAGAGAAAACCATGATGACTGGCTCGGGAGGCTGAAGAGACTATTTTTCATGCTTTGTTTATACTCCTGGGATGACATTTAGGGAAGGGAAACCCATTCTTTCTGGCCAGCTTGTAACTGTAGGATCCTTAATGTCTTTAATGTATTAGTTTCGATGGGTTGGGCTCGCGGAGCCCTCTGTCACAAGATGTGCTTAAGGGGACACGTTCGCTGGCAGTTGGGACACATGATTGCCAATGCAAAATGAGCCTTGTCTGAAAGGACTGGTCGGCTGGGAGCTCCCGTGTGGCGCTCTCGTAGGCAGGGTGCGACTGGCTCATTGAGGAAAAGGAATCGTTTTCCTTAGCGGAGGAAGAGATCCTGTTATATTCTTTTGTTCCCTGTTTTTCATTGATCGCCAGCTCTGCCTTAAAGCGGGGAGTGCAGCCCGGGGAGCGCAGAGCTGGGAGGACTGCACAGATGACTCCAGCTCACTTGAACTCTCACACTGATTGGTCCGCGAGACCGAGACTTGCGAAAACAGCCACCCCAAACCTTCTTTTACAACCGCGCTGTGCATTGAGATTAGCCTTCTCGTGCACAGATTTATGCAAGACTGATTTTTAATTCGGGTGCGGTTTGCTTGAGGTACCTTTAAGTTTAATTTTTTGTTGTTATTTCTCTTCAGATTAAAGTAGGCCATTTTGGTGACAAATTTCTTTGCAGACGTCAGCTACTAGCTTACATTTAGAGACCTATCACTTTCCAGTCCCTTCTTGATGCTTTCTCCTCAGGAGTTGTAGAATGCAAAGTTGTTCAACTTAGGAAAAATTTTCCCTAACCGTTGTTTGATCTGAATATTGAAATAGCACCATCAGCAGATGGATGCTTAGCTGCGTCTTTGCTTCGATAATGTGCCTGTGCATTCGCATGTAGCATGCACTAAATTTAAGTCTGCAACAGTGAAAAAAGGCAATGGAGAGCAGTCAAAATCAGCTTGCACATATGATAAGAAATTGTGGCATCTGGTTTGAAGAGAATGCATTTCAAATCCAAGAAAAAGGGCTTTCTTCACCTTATAAGAATATGATTTAGTAAATAATGTGGAATGTTATATCTATAAGAGAGAGAGAAAAAAAAAAGGCTGGCGGGTAGCTCCATTTGAGCCTTAAAGCACCTCAGCTAAAGAAGCACTGTCCCAGAAGTTGTTAAATGTATAAACACTTTTCTGATTGGCTTAAAAATTTAGACACAGGAAGTGGATGGTATCTAATAACCGTGAGTGGAGACATGGTTGTCATGGAAACTGAGAAGACTATCCCCCCCCCCCATACACACATATACACTACATAACCACTACTTAAAAAAACCAAAAAACCTGCATGTCATCACAGATGCCTGGAGAACATGTTGGCTTCTGTAAGCTTTCCCACAGCATCTGTTGAAACCTGAGACTGTGCCTGTCAATTCAAGGTCATTTTACAACAACAACCAAAAATGCAGTCTCCTAGATTTCATGACTGTATTTTACTGAAAATATGTGAGGGGAAAAAAATATCTTAAAGCAAGGATGAGCACACGTGCTTACTTGGCATTTTGCTGCTTCTGAGTTGTGCAAGGAAAGGCTAAGAAGGGATTTGAGCACTTAATTGTGGAATCCAATTGATTTGTATGTCTCCTGTTAGAACCAAACTCTGTTTAGAGCTGTGAAGACTAGTAACAGAACATGTTACCTGTGAATGAAGAGTCATCTGGGGGATGGTATAACGAAGACTTTCCTTTTGCAAGAAGGTTCAAAGTTGAACTTGCACAATTGAATTCCAAGAACTGTGGATTTTGGAACCCAGCTCTGAGGCCGCGTGTGCAGGGGTAAATGCAGACCCTGTCTGGTGCTTTGGGAAGTATAAGGGAGGTGTTCTCAGTAGCTGAGCAGGAAAAGGAAAATGAAATTGAAGTAAGAATGGTTTGCAAAACTGAAACTATTGTATTTGGTCAACTTAGAAAAGTTTCCTGTTCTTTTGTGAATAGAGAAGAGTACTTCAAGTGCTCAGGATAATTGAGAGGTTCCCCAAATCGAGGTTGTAAGTATTTCCAATGTCTTGGCACTGGTTTCAGTGTGGAGGGTAAAGAAAAGTTTGGAGACCTCCCCCTTTCACTTTGCTAAGTGAAAAATAAACAGGGAGGCCCTCTCCTAATTTTTTTTACTTTGGTGATGAACACAGAAATTTCTAAATATAAAGACAGTGCATTTCTTATATTTCTCTAATCTTGCCAATGGTAATCTTCACATTTTAAATTTTGTTTTGTTTTTTGTTTTTCATCCTCACCTGAGGATTTTTTTCCCTACTTATCTTCAGATAGAGGGGGAGAGAGGGAGAGTTAAAGAGAGGGAGAGGGAGAGAAACATCGAAGTGAAAGGGACACATTGACTGGTTGCCTCCCGAGAGAGCCTGACCAGGACTGGGGACTGAATCGCAACCAAGGCATGTGCCCATGACCGGAATCAAACCTGTGACTCTTTGGTCCGAGGGCTGACGCTCTAACCACTGAGCCAAACCAGCCAGGGCAACATTTTAAGTTCTTGATATTCATGTAGAAATATCTTCCCTCCAATTATGATGATTTAGAGCGTTGATTGCTTTATCTTAATTGAAAATGGTCAGTTTTAAATCTCATTTAATTAACACTGATCTTTTTAAAAAGCAGCAAATTTGCCTTGTTTTCATCAACTAATTGCATGTGGGCACAGAAGAGGTGGAAAGAATCCTAATATGTTGGGGTGATTTAGGTGTATTTCATGATCCCATGTTGTCAGATATCTAATGGATTTGGGATTTGGTGAAAAAGGTTAAGTTTAATGGCACAACAGTTCTCTGTGAGCAAAGGGTTTCCTGTAGGGAGCTTTCTTATCTGTAACTACGTTCATTGGCAGGAAACATGTCAGTTGCTTGTTTTTACAAACTGGAGGAAATGAATGGGATTTGTCAGTTTGTAGAATCTGCCTTCATTCTCCGCTGTCGGTCAGATAGTTTGCTCAGAACACTTCATTTCTAAAGGGACTTTGAGGAACACAATTAAGTCACTCCAAGTCTTTGGCATTTCTGTTTATTTATTTTTTACTTTGGGAATAGAAAAACTGATCGTTATGCTACTATCTACAACTTATTTTACCAGTACAAATTAACAAAATATCCAATAAAGTTCCAACTCATTTTCAGTTGTCAGATGTACACATACTCACTATAGCAGGCGTTTTTAAAACTAGCTATGCCAAATTTCTAATAATTTGTCTAGAATACCAACCAAATTCCAGTCTTGGTTTTGGATTAGCCTGGAGAGGTAAAGGGAGAGAGACAGCTTCATTCTCTTTGCGTATAAGAAAAAAATGTACAGTGATACCTCGGTTCTCGAACATAATTCGTTCCAGGAGGACGGTCGAGAACCAAATTGTTCGAGAACCGAAGCAATGAAACCCAATAGGAAATAATGGAAACTGGATTAATTCGTTCCAAGCCCCAGAAAATGCCTATTTACTGGCCTAATTTGTATATAATATGTAGAAAAACATAAGTCTCAACAAGAAATAAAAGTGTACAGTGTGTCTAAGGGTTAAATTCAGTGTAAAGCGTGACTCTCTCCACAAAGCGTGACTCTCTCTCTGCACTCACACTGATGACGCGAGCAAGGCGCGCTGGGCCGAATGAACGCCATTCGGCTCAACTCGGCTCATCTCGGAAGTTCGAGTTCCAAATATTTGTTCGGATTCCAAGACAAAAGTTTCTCGAATCTCCTGGTCGAATACCGATTTGGTCGAAAGTCAAGGCATTCGAGAACCGAGGTATCACTCATCTTTGCTGATGTCAAACATTTGATGTTGGGGAACAATTGGGAATTGGGAGTGGAAGTTTGCAAAAACCAGTTTGAGTCCATATGAGAAAACAAACCGAAACTTTGAAAAGACTTATTGTACAAAAGTCCGGATTATTTTTGGATATTGTAAATAAATGTATTTATTTAGTTTATGTGTGTTTCCTGGACGATGAAACAGGCCGAGCTGCTTTAGACTAGGAAAGTAAGTACATAGGCTCATTTGAAGGGAGCAGCCTGGGGAGGGGCTTAAGAGCTCCTGAGAGAGAACCATTTGTTATTGCAATGGTTTTCACGCCTTTTTGAAGACATCATTATTGACTTATATTTAGCATCAAATAAGATCTTATGCAAGACCCTAATATATGAGTGGAATGAAAACAGAGATGCTTTGAGGGAACCAAGAGCCAGAGGCCCAGAGCTACCCCTGTGCCTGGGACACACCCTAGAACCCTAGCCCTGCTCTGAACACAAGTTGAAAACCACTGCTTTTAAATATATTTTTTAATTGATT